ACAAATACCCATAGTAAACGGAATTTATCAAGGGACATAATTATGGAAGAAACAACAGATACTGTTAAAGAAATAAATAAAGAAGAGAATTATAGAAGAATATCAAAAGTATCTTATGTGACAAGAGGTGATACAACTTCTAAAAGTGATAGCACTACTGAAGTTGGCGGGACAGAGTCACCGATATCTTTAAAAAGAGTTTCTGAAAAAGATGTCCTCTCTCCTACTTCTTCAAAAACCTCATCAAAAAGAATCTCTAAAGAATCAACCATACTATACCTTAATAACCGTGACAAATTACTATTATTAATTGGGTATGCTATTCATTCATATTGCTTATATTTCATTAAAGATTATTTAGTTTACTTAAATTCAAAAATATTATTTAGGTTATCACTGGCATTCTTTCTAGTAATATTTGACATAACCATAATAGCGAATCAAATTCCTAAAATCATCACCGACTTCAAAGCAGGTGAAGATATTTCATGGATAATTACTTCTTACAATGTAGCAGGTGTAAGTATTAGTAAGATTAACAATAATAATAATAATTTTTTTAAAAAAAAATTAAAATTATAAAATGTATTAATACTATGCATATTCTTTGTTCTAATTATTTTAATTATTTTAATTATTATTATAAAGGCGGTACTACAACCTTTATGCGAGAAATATTCAAATATTTTTGGAAGAAAGTTAGTATCACTCGTGGCAATATTCATTTTTGGATCTGGTTCGATATTATGTGGTGCTGCGCAAAATATTCAATGGTTAATTTGCGCAAGAGCTCTAATGGGATTAGGTGGTGGAATTATCATACCAACTGTATTTACCATTATATCGGATGTCGTTCCTACTCTTCAACGTAATCCTTTCAATAATTCTGTCAACTTTGCTTTTGCATTTGGATTGGTTTTAGGTCCAATTGTTGGTGGTTTATTCGCTGACTATTTATCTTGGAGGTGGTCATTTTATATGAATGGTGTATTGTCAATTATACCCATTATATCATTGTGGTTTTGAAGTACTTGATGTAAAATTAAATTCATGAACATTACTAAAATCCATGGTTTGCCTACCAGGGCCGAAGGGAGTTGACGGTGTCGTAAAAAATGGAGTTGTAGTAGGTGAAGTTGCTATATAATCTGACCGTAATTTTGGGTCGAAATGATTAGTCAGTGCAGCCTGTTTTATCGCATTTATCAATAAATTACAGGTAGAGTCTTGAGGTGTCATATAAACAGATTGCATTGGAGAAATTACAGAATCGATAGACATTGAATGATCATGTAATCTTTCTCTCTTTCTAAATTCATTTTTGTTTACATTAAATTGGTCTGCATTAGAATCTTCAGGCTGGTTTTTTTGATTCATATTACCATTTACGACGCCAACTTCTGGAGTTGCTTCAAAGAAAATGTCCCCTTCACTCCCTTGAGAAGACTTCGGTGTATGATTAACGGAGAAAGACATAAAAGTTTCAATTTTACCGAGTTGGTAAAAATTACGGTAAGACGAGGGCTACAAAGTTTTTCGGGGCAGCAAATAAGGGAGGGGTGAGAAGGTAATCAATGTGAAAATTAAATCTATTTTTATTTTTATTTTTTTTATTTTTAATTTTAATTTTTTTTTTTTTAAATTATTATTTATTTTTTTGGGGGGTTCAACTATTTTAACGCACATCAAGTGCTGTTGTATCGAGGAGAAATAACTAAACTTGCTCTCTTGTCTAACAGGAAAGAGAGGCAAGTTGATGAAAAACTGCTTCTGATGGTATGCCTGCAGTTAAGTAACAGCATTGTAACGAATACATATAAATAAATATATATACTGTACGTTGTAAATGATGATTAAGCACAAAAAATTATTTCTATCAATAATATTATTAGTACTAAAAATGTATTATAAAAAACGAGTAATGTACAAGTCATACATTAATTTATTTCCCAAATTTATTAAAGTTGGGCAAATGCGATAAATGCAAAACAAAATGCAAACAAATACAATCTCCACAATGTTAAAATAGAACTTTATGTAACATCACGTGATTCACTTAGCTAAATAAAAAAATATTTATAGTATAAGACAATATGATGTGTTTAGTTAAAAAACATTCAAGTTTAAAGTTTAATGATGAGATTTGACAACTGATAAAGTTAACATTCTTTTGTTCTTTTATTCTTTATTATTTATATGGAAAGTGTCTCGGCCACAGTTTAAATCCTCACCGAAATTATACTTTGTATAGGCAAGAGCCGAAAAAATTCACCAAAATTGTAAAACTGCAATGGAGGGACGTTGACCAATAATATTAATGTTACACATTTACACATTGATGTATGCTACATAATTCAATTCATAGCATATAGTCTCTGTATTCTCGGTAAGTACGTATGTACGTATGTACGTACAGTATAATAAATAAATATCTGATATGTTAATCTATAAAAGTATATAATACGTAATCGTGATCCACAACTCATTGGAAAATCATCGATATTATTGATTGTTATTAACCATTGGTTGTGCATATCAGATATGAAATTCGTTAAATGTTTAACCTGTTTTGCTAGCAAACCTTTTAAGTCGTCCTCCTTAAA